TCACTGAGCTCAAAGACATTGAGGATATTCGGTGGCCAGAGAAAGATAGTCGAATTAAGCTCCAGATCTTCTGGCTCAATGATGTGAACATCCAGGAGGTAGATTATTCTACAGTAGGATTCCTGTCAGAATGTAAGAACACAATGTGGTAGTAAATTATGTCGAACTGATTAATGACATCAATATCCTTTAGCGTCAGATACAACAGGTAGAAGCAATCATATGGTTATTCACCTTTATTTTTTCATGAAGGTCTGCAATACCCTTTGTCTTAATGAAATTTATGTAATCAGTCATCTGAATCATTTCCTCTGTACTCTCTGGTACTTTCAGGGCCTTCTCTCTGATGGTTTCAAATTCTGAGCAGATCCTTTGAACAGACACAAAAAGGATTGTGAGATAAATCTGAGCATTTTAAACAAAGGGGGAAGTTTTGTTAAAGCACGTTACAAGAAGTGACTCACTGTAGATTTTGCTCACGGTGGCTGGTGATCAGTTTCTTCAGGAGTATTTCAGCATACTTTTGGGCTTTGTTGGCCAGCCCCTGTTTCAGCTCTTCACAGTCCAGATGGACCATTGTGAAGTGGGCTTTTGCTGGGAGGCTAACAATCTCCTTTGACAGAACACGAAACTCCTCCACTTGCTTTAAAAAGTAGTGAGATTACTCTTTGACAGACATACGAGAAACTGATAACGAGGCAAGAGTAGGTCTATATCAAATGCAGCATGAATTAAACTTTATGATTTGTTACCATAGTGTACTCGTCAAAAGAATGCTCTTCCTCCATGAACTTCTCCACTCTAGCCTGTGCAGCTCCACTGACTAGCCAGTCATAGTTGTCAACTGCAAAATAAACAGATAAGTCAGCAATAAATGGAATCAAGATCAATGGGGCAATGATAGGAAATTACTGGATTATGGACCATCACCATAGTTCTGGAAATGCTTGTCAGCTTCCTCTAGATTCTTGCATACAGAGGTTTTCAGAGTGACCTGAGCCCATGCAAGGATGTGATCAGCCACTTTGGCATCCACAAATGAAGATGGGGCTTGCGCCAGCCATGACTGGACTGTCTGTACTTTCTGTGGATTCACGTCGAAGATATCAAAACCAGCTCAGAATACATTTTTACATGAAAAAAGTGCAATAAAGTTGTCATTATCCATTAAATGGCTATTAAACCTCACCTGCAGTGTATTTGTGATGACATTAAGAATCTGAAAAACAGCAGCTTCCAGATCTTGTAAGGTGGGATAAATTTCCATCTTTTCATCATCAAATGTCAAGGCCATACGAAAGATGGGCAAGAGGTGGTGGTTGCTTGGATCAAACAGACTGACAAACTCCTCTACACTGGTCTGAAGCAGGGATTTCAGCTGGGAATTTACAAAAGAAAAATTTCCATGAGTCTAAATTTATAAGCAAGGAGCATACATAAAAAGAAATCACAGTATCCATAAGTTTAATAAAACATATGCCATAATAAATGTACTAAAGTACTAAACAAATAATCAGTGATGGCTAATTGCTGACATGGTGTTTGCATGAAAAATTAACACAGAAGATCAGACTTCAATACAGCAGCCTATAAATGGACTTAAAGTACATGCATAATGTGAATAGATTATACATTACAATCTTTCCTGACCAATTTTACTATAATGCAACAATGAGTGAAATAACCTTAATTTAAATCAATCTAAATAACTAATTGTTCATTCTGACTCAAATCAAAATAAAGTCAGCATTATCTCACCTGATTGGAGATGAGGGTGGATGCACACTCGTAGAAGGAATCTAGTTTCTCCTCTTTAACTCCCTTCAGCGTTTCATTACTTGTTAATAAGTGGATTACTTTAGGAAACCAGGTATTCATGATGCGGTCTTCTGTCCTCTTACACTCCACAGCTATTTTGTTCTGTAGGCCCTTGCAATCCACAGGTCCTGAAGCCCTGAACCAGCAGAAAAAATTAAATCAAAAGGAAACATACCTTCACGCGAAATATCGTAGTTATGTGCTTATTTGTAGTCTTTCCTTACCTGCATCCTGAAAGATCAACGAGGACCAGCGGAGAAAATGTCATGTAGCCAATATCCAAGACAGTTTGCATTACAGGATGAAGAATGTGCAAATTTGCTTTTATCGTCTTGCGGTTTCTGATAAATCTATCATGCCAAGGTTGGGAGAAATCAAGAGTTCTGCAAAAGATTTGGAAATGTATTTTACAAAAGTGAATTAAAAATAGAACAACTACTATTTAGTTATTGTGAATAAATCATTTGTGTACATTAGGAACTCACTTCGGTTGGGTAGCTGCCTGTTCTTCGGAGATATTGCCTTCTTTCTGTGGATTCTTTAGCACTGCATCCACTAAATGGAGTGAATATGGAATTAATAGAGACATGGTTCACCTGTACATCTAAATGTACTCTGCAGGCATAGACATATACATACACAAATAAATGGCATTACCTGTGTGCTTGACAATCACAATGTGGAAGTCGTCGCTGACTTCCTTGCAGAGCTCCTGTAGTAGTGTATTTGTCTCAGGGCTCTCTTTGAGTTTAGGCGGGACTCGGGCAACAATTGCATCCAACCACTGAGGCTGGATTGGAACGAACGGGCGGCTCTCCACACACCGCTTCAGGAACATGTAGTTCATCTGCAAAACAAAATAAGAGGCGTACATATAAAAAAAGGTTTAGACTATTTGCAGGTCAAATTTAACAGTAAAAAGAAAAACTTACCTTACGCTTCCGCCCCTCACTAAGCATCTGTAAACCAAGAATTCAAATAAACACATTGCGTTACAATGTGCAATATTTGTATATAAATGTACATTTAAAATGTGTACATAGGTAGGTAGATAATTTTCATACAGAAGGTGGAAGCTGTGGCTCTGGTGACTGGTTAGGCACTGTCCCCCTCTCTTTGCTCTGTCTGTAAGCCTCCATTGCTCTAGACACCCTGTAATAATAACAATCTGTCACACTGCAGACACTGGGATCATTCTCCTATAGTTGTGGCTATCAATCACACTGAGTTACTGACAAAAGAGCTGACATAGGTGAGCTTAAAACATACAATAACATGTGGAGTTGCTCTTGTTGCACTTTCCTCCTCCTGTGCCTCAGCAGTTTCTTGCGAACAGTTATCTTCTCCGCGGTCTGTCCAGTCTCACCCCGCTCCTGCGGTCCTTCAATCGGGGGCAGGACTGGAAACTTTGACATACCCTTCATCGCTGTGGCTTTGAAAACTCCAGGAGAGGTAGCCATCTGTGGGAACAAGCCACTGAAAAGAACCATTAGCAATAATAACTAGAGGCTAAAATACAGCTTCTGTAGTTAAATTAACGCTGGGTTAACTTAGTTATGCTAACAGTTAACGTTAGTTATCTTGACACATTTGACCCCAAAAAAGCTAACGTTATGTCGTAGTATTAATCTAAATAGTTGGTTGCAGTGAATAACAACAGGCTAACGTAAGCTATTGGTTTACCTTTTCGTTCATTCGATATTTTCTCGCTTTGGTTAGTTGATTAACAGCTTATATCAATGTAATCAATTTAGTCTCCAGCTTCGTTACCATGGAACCAGTAAACAGGGTCGGAGGGAGGCGGGGCTTGTCATGTTTATTCATGTCGCTAAATTTAGAGTGCACATGTATTCTGACCTTTATGGTAAATGCATTGAAATCCACATAGTGAACTGACAGGCAGGGTTTGCGACTTTCTCCACTTTCTCTGCCATTATTCTCACTTTCCAAAGAAGTGTTGCACATATAGTTATTGCAGTATGAAAGTCTTATCTGAAGAGAGACTGTGACATCTTAATTGTAAACTGTAAATAAATAAGTTCTGACAACAACTCCTACTTTTATATTCAGGACAAGGGGGGATATTTCACTGTCTTCAATGTGATTCATCCTAATCTGAACAACAGGAGTGAGACTTTTAATTTAATGCAGATGTAACACATGTATAACAGATAAAGAGAGAAGCAGAACAAAACATAAATAATTTAAAATATGTTAAAAGAAAAACAGAGGGTGCATGAGATAGTCCTAATTGGTTATTTATTGTTGAATTCAAGATGAAAAACCAGTAGGCTAGTTTCCAGTGGTGGAAATTAACTAAATTAATTTAATTTAAGTATTATACTCAAGTATAATTTTTAGGTAGGTATAGTATTTTCATTTTATGCTACTTTAAACGTTTACTCCATTACATTTCAAAAAGTACAATGCTAATTAAATGGGTGTGATAATACACTTAGCTCACGAGATATTACGATGTACAATATTGGCTTCATGAGAACAAGACACAAAGATATTTTAATACTATTTTGAAAAATATTCAATGCTGAAATATCATTTTAGCAAATCTTTTGCACCAATTTATGACAAAAATGTTTTTATTTATATGAAGGGAAACCCAAAATTCAGGTGGCAGGTGACAATTAAAAAATTACAAAAACTATACATAAATAATGGAATATAAAGCAGTAATCAGCAGCTTGCTTTCTTTTAGCTTTAGTTACTTTTTTGGACAATGCACATTTGTTTCTTCTATATTTACATTGCACTGCATGTATTCTTTTGTGCAAATGTGCAAAAAAAAACATTTGTATCAAGTAGTTTCTTGTTGCAAGCTATTTTTCAGAACATTTTTAACAAATGTTTTCAGAAAAGTTATTTAGGACAAAATCTGCCATTTCAAAAGGTGCTAGGGACTTGTCTCCAGTGTTCTCAGTGTAAACACACCAATGCATTGATACATCAGTCTTAACAATCTAATAATGTGACAATAATATAACAGTGTCCTTTTCTGCATAAATCCTTTTTGTTTTTATACTACTAAAAACAATATATGAATGATTTTAAAAAAGCGTTTTATGGCTATAAGGTCAGGTAATAAAAACTCAGTTAGTTGAAATAGACATACAATGCTTTTAAGTTACTACAGGGGGCAGCAGTACGTTCGTAGCGTGTAGTTGACAGTACCGGAAATAAGCAAGAGGAAGTAGAAGAAGAAGCAGCTCTCCTCGTTCGCTAGTTAGCTACTGCTGGGAAGTAGCGTTAACATTTCCAGGTATTATGAAATAAGTAACCATGATATTTGCATAGGGCTGTAGATGCATGTCGATAGAGGATAATAAAACAGAATAGCACTCGTTCCGGGTGTGTGTTTTCGATAAACATGCACCGAAAGGCTTACGTTGTCTTTGTTTTGATTCGTGTTGACAAGTCGGGCTTCAATGTTGTGTTTTCCATCGAAGGCCCAGACTGTTGTGATTTAAGGTTTCCGGTGCCGTTATTGCTGTCTAACTGACTAGCTAATTACCAGAGCCGTTATAACGTTATGTAATTGTCTTTACCATGACTTCATTAGTGTCTGAAATGTCATTCTGTCACTTCAACTTTAGGATATTATCATAATGAGTTATGCAGAGAAGCCGGAGGACATAACAAGGGAAGAGTGGATGGATAAACTCAACAATGTCCACATTCAGAGAGCTGATATGAACAGGCTCATTATGAACTACCTGGTGACAGGTGAAGGACCGATTTTTTTTTTTTATTACTCAAAGCTTGCTTTCAGCTGTCTATACAGATCAGTTGTGCAGATAAATGTAGTGCTTGAATGTGGAATGTGACTGCTTTTCACCATGGTTTCTGTTCAACAGAGGGCTTCAAGGAGGCAGCAGAGAAGTTCAGGATGGAGTCTGGAATAGAGCCTAGTGTGGACTTGGATTCTCTAGATGAAAGAATTAAGATCAGAGAGATGATCCTGAAGGGACAGATCCAGGATGCCATTTCACTGATAAACAGTCTGCACCCTGAACTGCTGGATACCAACCGTTACCTCTACTTTCACCTACAGGTACGACACAGTGCTTCTCATTTTGCTCACATCTAGGTGTTGCACTTTAATCAATATCCTCCCTACTGCCCGTCTGACTACTTCTCTTATTTTCACTCCCTCTTGCACCCTCTTGCTTTTTGCGTTTGTAGCAGCAGCATCTGATTGAGCTGATTCGCTTGAGGGAGACCGAAGCTGCCCTTGAATTTGCCCAGTCTCAGTTAGCGGAGCAGGGGGAGGAGAGCCGAGAATGTCTGACCGAGATGGAGAGGACACTGGCCCTGCTGGCATTCGACAACCCTGAGGAGTCACCTTTTGGAGATCTGCTCAATATGATGCAGAGACAAAAGGTAGAGTGAATGAATTTGTCTTTTCACCAATATTCTTTTCATATACACTACCGTTCAAAAGTTTGGGGTCACATTGAAATGTCCTTATTTTTGAAGGAAAAGCACTGTACTTTTCAATGAAGATAACTTTAAACTAGTCTTAACTTTGAAGAAATACACTCTATACATTGCTAATGTGGTAAATGACTATTCTAGCTGCAAATGTCTGGTTTTTGGTGCAATACTACATAGGTGTATAGAGGCCCATTTCCAGCAACTATCACTCCAGTGTTCTAATGGTACAATGTGTTTGCTCATTGGCTCAGAAGGCTAATTGATGATTAGAAAACCCTTGTGCAATCATGTTCACACATCTGAAAACAGTTTAGGTCGTTACAGAAGCTACAAAACTGACCTTCCTTTGAGCAGATTGAGTTTCTGGAGCATCACATTTGTGGGGTCAATTAAACGCTCAAAATGGCCAGAAAAACAGAACTTTCATCTGAAACTCGACAGTCTATTCTTGTTCTTAGAAATGAAGGCTATTCCATGCGAGACATTGCTAAGAAATTGAAGATTTCCTACAACGGTGTGTACTACTCCCTTCAGAGGACAGCACAAACAGGCTCTAACCAGAGTAGAAAAAGAAGTGGGAGGCCGCGTTGCACAACTGAGCAAGAAGATAAGTACATTAGAGTCTCTAGTTTGAGAAACAGACGCCTCACAGGTCCCCAACTGGCATCTTCATTAAATAGTACCCGCAAAACACCAGTGTCAACATCTACAGTGAAGAGGCGGCTGCGGGATTCTGGGCTTCAGGGCAGAGTGGCAAAGAAAAAGCCATATCTGAGACTGGCCAATAAAAGAAAAAGATTAAGATGGGCAAAAGAACACAGACATTGGACAGAGGAAGACTGGAAAAAAGTGTTGTGGACGGATGAATCCAAGTTTGAGGTGTTTGGATCACAAAGAAGAACGTTTGTGAGACGCAGAACAAATGAAAAGATGCTGGAAGAATGCCTGACGCCATCTGTTAAGCATGGTGGAGGTAATATGATGGTCTGGGGTTTCTTTGGTGCTGGTAAGGTGGGAGATTTGTACAGGGTAAAAGGGATTCTGAATAAGGAAGGCTATCACTCCATTTTGCAACGCCATGCCATACCCAGTGGACAGCGCTTGATTGGAGCCAATTTCATCCTACAACAGGACAATGACCCTAAACACACCTCCAAATTGTGCAAGAACTATTTAGAGCAGAAGCAGGCAGCTGGTATTCTATCGGTAATGGAGTGGCCAGCGCAGTCACCAGATCTGAACCCCATTGAGCTGTTGTGGGAGCAGCTTGACCGTATGGTACGCAAGAAGTGCCCATCCAACCAATCCAACTTGTGGGAGCTGCTTCTGGAAGCGTGGGGTGCAATTTCTCCAGATTACCTCAACAAATTAACAGCTAGAATGCCAAAGGTCTGCAATGCTGTAATTGCTGCAAATGGAGGATTCTTTGACGAAAGCAAAGTTTGATGTAAAAAAGATCTTATTTCAAATACAAATCATTATTTCTAACCTTGTCAATGTCTTGACTCCATTTTCTATTCATTTCACAACGTATGGTGGTGAATAAGTGTGACTTTTCAGGAAAACACAAAATTGTTTGGGTGACCCCAAACTTTTGAACGGTAGTGTACATAGAATAGATTAAACCTCATACCACCTAAACTTAGGATCCCACACTAAACTAAAAAAAAGTTGTCCTCGTTGTTGTGGAAAATTTGTGGTATTCTTGATGAGGGATTGAGCAAATAATTGAGTTACAACAAACCGTTGTCTGAAGTACTACAACAGAAAATCAGCTGGACCAGAGGTTCTGTCTCCTAGGACAGTCACTAACGTCTGGCCCAGAGCAAAAACATGAATAATCATTTAGACATTCCACATGTCTATGTTTTGGGGAACAGAAACGCCAGCCTTGACTGGGAAACAGTCAAGGTGAGGAGAGGGACAGCTAGTGAGGAAAACAATAACAACTTCCCAGCTCTGAACTAAACCCTACACATGTGGACAGACTAGTATAATGAGTATAACAATAACAGAAAAAGGTGAAGGAAAAACAATAGATATTAATAATAGTACTATTATAAGTACATGCATAAAAGATTATAAGAAAGAGAAAACAATTTTCTGCCATCACACTCGTCTCTACAGTGTGAAGACACTGTTCAGTATTAGTGGTGCTGCATTTTTCTACAAATTTCAAATTAATTACTTACTCGATTTGTGGGTGTGTTTGTGGATCTCTATCAAGTCATGTCAATTTTATTTACTAACTATCACAATAGTATATAAATACCCTCAATCCTTAGACCTGGATTAGACCCCCCCCCCCCCCCCTTATGAGAATTTGTCTCTCAAAAATGTATAAAAAGCAATAACATCTCTATGTCTTTGTTTTTAGGTATGGAGTGAAGTGAATCAGTGTGTGCTAGACTATGAAAACAGAGAGTCAACCCCCAAGCTGGCCAAGCTCCTGAAACTGCTGCTGTGGGCTCAGAATGAACTTGATCAAAAGAAAGTGAAGTATCCCAAAATGACAGACCTCAGCAAGGGAACCATTGAAGACCCAAAATAAGGACCCCACAGTGAAAACATACTACAGCATTACAAAATGGACACATTTCCTTTATCTATTTATACCCCAACAAACTGACTCATATAGAGTACAACCTTTTCTTTTTTGTAAGGGTTGCTTTTTGATACTTTAATAATTTAGAATGTGCAAACTGGATTGATGGCATTTTAAAGTGACTTCTCACACTAAAATAACATGCAGACCATTATTTTACTTAGTATTATAATTTACATATTTGTTTATGTATAATGGGTACACTAGTTTTTCTGTCTCTTGGCAGGGAAAGTTGTTAGCCATAAGAGGGTGTGAATAAAGCCTAAATTAGGCTGTCACTTTCTGTGTGAGACCACTTGGAATGGGATAAGTTCAATGTTTAGGGAAAATGGTTGGCTCAGTGTGCACTGCCTCAAATAAACAACTTTTTTCCCTTATAACAAGCATACACATTTCAGCTAGTTGTCTTTTAGCTATAGTATTCTATGGGATGGCAATAGCCAAAGCAAGATGGTTGGGATGTTTCAAACTACTGTGACTTTGAAAGTTAAATTCAGCTTTAGATTCATAATGCGTTCTTGCTTGAGACATGACAAAATATATGCTGACATAGATAAGTTATACATCACGGTAGCAGTTAACATGTGGGACAAAGCAAGATTCCTGGAATGCTAAAAGACTTTGCACCCTACTGTGACTGTGCAAGCTTAAAGGCAGCCTCGGTTTCATATTGTTATAAAATACAATAGATGATATTAAAAGATGTGAATGGATAAATCTATATCACTTTTACAGATGGATTATTTACATGTATGGAATAAGTAGCTCTTTTGCTAAATTTTATGTGCTTTTTTTTTTGCTGGGATATTATTTTGCAATAAAAGTGAAATGTTAAACTGCGCCAAGTCATAAAGGACTTTTGCTTTGTTTTCTTTCTGGTAAAATTTAAGTGGTAAAGCAGCAGAGGTGGAAAGTAACCAAGTGCTTTTACTCAAATACTGCACTTGCGTACAATTAAGAGATACTTTTACTTGAGTGTTTCCATTTTATAGTACTTTATGCTTCTACTCTGCTACATTTGAGAGAGAAATATAGTAATTTTAACTCCACTACAGTTATCCACAGCTGTCGTTGCAGTCAACACTTGATTGCAACGATTGATAACTTGACAGTTAAATGTATTATAGGATGCATTGTTACAGACTTCACTACCCAACTACCTAGTTAGCAAAGTAGGAAAAATAAGATCCATTTTAAACAGTGCATCATATTTTAAAATTATATGTTTTGTATGCAAAATCTTAATCTGTGTAGTAATAACTGAAGCTGGTATATAAGTACAGTATCTCCCCCTGAAATGTAGTGGAGTACAAATATAAAGCAATTGTGGAACAAGTACTCAGATCCTTAACTAAGTAACAATACTCAATACAAACATACTCCATTACAACTAGTCCTGCATTGACAGTGCCATTTAAGCAAAAGTATGTAAGTATTAAATGTTCTTTGAGCATTATAAGTTAAAGAGTGTTATACTATCATATAATATTAAAGTATTGTTTGTTTTAACATTTTTTAGTAGTCGGTTGTGATGAAACTAATTTAAACTATTTTACGTATTGTTATGCATCATATTTTATAAATTCATCATATGTTTCGCATAGAAAATCCTAATCTGTACACCTGTAAACTAAAGCTGTGAAATAAATGTAGCCTAGTGGACTTTTTATAACGCCAACCACTACCGATTGGGTGGAAGTATTTGTGGCATGGAATAGCCTACTTAAGCGCAAGTACCTCAAATGTGCGCAAAGTAATTGCTAGTGCATTGTTACATTCCACCACTGTTAATTAGTACTTTACCTTAAGTAAAATATATTATATAAAGCAGTATTTTACGTTGCGGTGTTACTTTAACTTGAGTAAACGATGTGACCACACAGACTGTACAAGAGCTGCTAAAAGTTGTGCTGAATGCAGAGTGTTATATAACGATTGCATGCTAACTCAAATAGCCAGAGGCAGACGGACCATTCAAACAACCTTGTAGGCTGACTGCGCATATCTCTGCCCCACAGCCGGACATATAAACACCGCGGCTTCTCAGCGCGGGCACCGTCACGTCTTCATCCGGCAAGGACAGGGTCAGGAGGAGAGTACATCCTGGTGCTTAAAGGATGCTCCAGTAGACGACACTGATAGCCTACGTTTTCTATATTGCACCGTCATGATTGGGAAGGGGCCCGAGCCAGAGGCCACGTCTTTCTGGCGTTTTGGATGATGCTCTGATGATAGGTCGGCTGACTTGACAGAAGAAGCCGCGTTTAGACAGACAGAGAAGACTTCCTGACGAGCCCTACCGAGCAAAAGAAGAACTGCGCGGCTGCTTGGGGAGGAGGCTGGAGAGAAAAACTGACACGTGGATTACTCCTCCTTCGGCATCAGGGAAAACAGATTGCCTCCTGTGCAGCTCAGCTTCGTGATCATCGCCTCTGGTCTTGTTAGTGCGGTCTTATAGGTAATGGATTAAAATATCGCCAACCCGAGATGTGATTGCGCACATATACTTCCAGAGAAGACTTGTTTTTTTTGTAACATTTTGAACAGGGGACTTTTTCTGACAGTTCGAACAGCGGAACGAGTATCGAAAGTGAACAGCCGAAGCGGTTGAGAGGGGGCTGCTGTTACCTCGCGTTGAATGGCAGTTCTTCAAAAATATGGCAAGAACTATAGTCCAGATTTGGTCTGTCATAAGGAAAACCATCCGTCTGACAAGATCGGAGCACCTGGGTGTCACAAGAAGTGGCCTGAACACAACACCAACTGGTCAAGGTAACGAGTTTAACCCAAATAAGAGACAAGCATTCAACAGTGCTGAGTGCTTTCTCCAAATGTACCCAGAGGCTCTCAATGAGAACTCGGAAAATGTGTAGCCTAACATCCTATTGACACTTTGTAACAACTCTTTGACTTGTAATCCTTTAGGTGCAGCTGGGTCGTATAGATCCGCGCTTTCTGCGACAAGAGTGCCTCTCTGTGTATCTAGTAGTAAAATGACACGTAGGCTATCACTTATGGCATTTCATGGTTCAGATAAGTAGGCTACTCTTTAGATGGAGTTGCCCTGCCACATAGGTCAAATGATTTGTAAAGAAGGAAGTAAGTTGTGCTTCCTTGTTCCCTATATATTTAGCTAAACCACAACTGACACATGAACCTTAAATATTAACCCTAATGAAAATAGAAGTTAGATAAGACTCCCCCCATCAACTGGTTTAAGTCCAAAGTTTGTCCCCAAATGTTGCCTTTGTTCAGCCAAAGTTAGATGGCTTCAGTCTATTCTGCTTCCCTCCTGTGCAGGCCAGTGGCGAGGGTATGGACGGTGGTGCTGCTGCTTGGGACGTGCCTCCTCTACTGCGCCCGTGTGGCGATGCCCATCTGCGCCGTCAGCATGGCAGAGCAGTTCAAGTGGAGCAAGAGGGAGTCCGGCATGGTGCTGGGCAGCTTCTTCTGGGGCTACTGCTTCACCCAAGTGCTCGGAGGTTACGTCAGTGACCGGTGGGAAACATTTGAGCTCATACAGTAGCCACGTCGTAGAGATAATAGCGGGCTATGGATACTAAATTCTCTTGGGCCTACATAGATGTGCTTTTCATTTGGCACCAGTTTTTAGCTTCATCCTCGTTAAGTGTCATTTGCATGAGAGCATTACTGGCAGTGATGCAAACCGCCCATTTGTGTTTGCTCAGTCTGACAGATTATAGGGGAACGAAGGCAGATGTTTCCTCTGTGTTATCATGATGTTAACACTTATAGGTGTCATAAACTGACAGGCTGCCTATGTGTTTGAAGAGTTTCGTTCACTCCAGAATTGTCACACCAAAGTTAATATCTTACAAAAACGTCCATCCTTTTTTACAAAATGTGTAAGAAAGATTCTCAAAGATGATATTTTTGGCAGAATTAATATTTTCTATATGGACCTACTATTTTCACTAGTGCTACAAGGCATCCAAGAGATCAAAAGCTAATACAGACATGTCTTGATTCTGTGTCCACAGGGTTGGCGGTGAGAAGGTCCTCCTGCTGTCGGCAGCAGCCTGGGGGTCGATGACAGCCTTCACCCCGATCCTGGCCCACTTCTGCTCCCAGCCGATCCTCTCCATGACACTGGCCCGCTTCCTCATGGGCTTGTTGCAAGGTGAGGTGGCGGGGGGGATTTTGAAAGTGTGTAAATAAGATTAATTGCATCTTGAGATAACTGTAAATCAGTGAGGTGAAAGATATACTGTATGTATTTTTTAAATGTCTGTACACTTTGTTCAAGGTCTGGAAATGGCATAATTATTCAACTTATCCAAACTCTGCTATCTTTCTTTGTAAGATACAGGCAGACAACATGAACATGTACAACCATATGTCAAACTAGTCAATGGAGTGTGCTGTCTGTCTTTTCTTTTATGATTAAATGCTTTTTTTGTCTGCATTCGCTTTTAAAAACTGTTTTACTAAAAGCCTGTTGCTAACTAAAACTGTTCTGATTTGATGGTATCCACTAGAAAGACAGCATCTGTCATATTGGCTACGTTTCTCATACTTCCAGATCCTTGTCACCTGCATCTGTAGCCCACAGCTCTGTTTGTTTTTGCAAAGACATTCATAAACCTCTGTTGGTAACAATGACAACAAGTTTAGTTTGTGGCCACCTTTTCTTTGTTTTTTGTTTGTTTGCCTTGAGAACACTAACTGACTGTGCACTGGATGATTCAGGTGTGCCTTTAAAATTGCTTTTGCTGCAGGCTCTTGTCACCAAACAAAGGTGCAGACGTTTCTGAATTTTTTTTGTTGTTCAGCACCTGCCAAAGAATTTACTGTGTGACGTGTTATTCACATTGCTCAAAAAAATCTACCATTTCCCGTCAGATTTCCCCTACTTCTACTGCTTTGTTAAATCCTTTCTTTTTAAACATTGACCGATTTCGTTTTTTGTTTCCTGGTTTTAGGAGTTCATTACCCCTCTCTGGCGAGTCTGTGCTCTCAAAAGGTGGTGGAAAGCGAGAGAGGCTTCCTCATGAGCACCGTGGGTAGTGGCTCCTACCTGGGGTGAGTCAAGTGTTATGCAATAAATGGCGACTGTTGCGAAGTGCAAAGAGCAGGGGTTCATTTGAAAGCTGTGTCTATTGTGATCCCACAACCACTTCTGACACCTGATAATCTCTTTCAGCTCATGTCATGTTTGTGCCTAATTAAGTACTTTACTGTGTATCTTGTTACAAGGGTGTGTTTGTGTAACTTGTCATGTCTTGTTGTGACCCCCCCCACCCCCTCCTTCCCCAGCACTCTGGTGATTGGAGGCGCTGGCTCCCTCATGTTGGACCTGTATGGCTGGGAGAGCGTTTTCTACGTGTCTGGTCTCCTCTCAGTCCTGTGGGCCTACTGCATGTGGAAATACCTGCTCAAAGGAGAAGGCAAGGGAGGCTTCAACTGTGGCGACAGTATCTGCGGTGTCATTGCTCATGCTCCTATCTTGTAGCTGCTTATTTGTATAACTGGTGTCAGTGTCCTTCGTGTATGCCCACGTGCCTGTGTTCATCTGTGTTTGCAGGGCCTATCATCACCCTGGAGTCCCTGGGAAGTGGTGGGCCCCAGTCCAAACTGTCCAAAAGACACTGGTTACGGCTCCTCAAGCAACCTGCAGTATGGTGAGCTAAAGATAAAGGAAGTGCACTTGTGTTTGCATGTGAGTGCATGTCTTTGTGCGTGTGTGTAGCTGCTCTTTGCATAGGCATAGCAGTTTGTTTGTTCTCATATTCAGATGAATGAGCAGCTGTGGAGCTCGCCCTGTGGCAATATTATAGCAACGTCTTATATCTGAAATTCTTATCTTATTCTTCTTATCCTGATAATTTAGAAGAATTATTTAAGAATTTAGAATAGCAAGCCTTGTCTCTGGTTGCCTCAGCTGTCCGTTATGTCTGTTAATATTGAGTTCTTCTATTTCCGTATAGTTTCTCCCTATGGCCAAGATATTTATATACCGTAATGCAGCTGATATGTTCCAATTCCAGCGACACGGAGAACCTCTGTGATTTTATTTGATGTATCTGATCCACCTTGAGAGTAATGGATTAGATGACAGTTTGATGGCTATGGGCTTAAAATATTCCCAAATTCTTTCTGCTTTCAGCCACATGCTACTTGCCTTAGCAAAGATATGACATAGGCAGGAGAACAATAGATGTCAAACAAGTAGCACAGGCACAAGCTTCTGTCAAATCACGAGACAGTGCTCAAAGACATGGGACACTGAGCAACCTTTGGTATACCTACAGTATGTATAAATATACTTTCAATGCACTTATTTTGTCTATTTCTCTCTCTTTATTCCCTGAGCAGTGCTGTGATCGTCACGCACCTTTGCACAGCGAGCACCTTCTTCACCCTTCTGTCGTGGCTGCCAACATTCTTTAAAGACACTTTCCCCGATGCCAAGGTAACCAGGCTCCATTTTCATTCTCCTTTTGATCGCATGACCTAAAGATAACAGGAAAAATAATTAAATCATTTTAAAAAAGAGCCTACAGCCATGCCAGCAGCAGCATGCTTTCAACTAAATGCTAACGTCAGCTTGCTAACATGCTCACAACAGTTTACAGCTAACATGCTGATGTTAAGCAAGTACAACATTAACCATGTTCACATTCGTTAATTCTCATTAAACTAAAGTGTTCAACTGAGGCTGATTATCTGTTTCTGATCAAGTTCATTCACACCCAGAACATATGTTGCCCCTCCAGGGTTGGGTGTTCAATGTCATTCCCTGGTTGGTGGCCATACCCTCATCCCTCTTCAGTGGCTGCCTATCTGACCACCTCATCAGTCAAGGTAGGGCACCCAACTGAGGAACAGATATCGGAATTATTGTATTATTGGTAAGGCAGCTATATATTTGCCTGTCCTAATTTTTCTGTATATCCCCACAGGCTTCGATACAGCCTCAGTGAGGAAGTTGATGCAGGTACGATATTGGACAGTTGCATTCTTATTCTGTTTGTATGTTATCTGTATAGTCTCATTGTAGATTTTCTTCCACTCAGTCCAAAGTTTATGGATGTCCTCTTTACTTTTTACACTCGTGTGCATAATGAATTACATAAGATTTTGTGTGCATTCATTCCTCTGTTAGTTTTTCTCCATGGGTGTGTCCAGTGTGTTTACCCTTCTTCTATGTGGCAACACCACCTTCCCTTGGGCTGTAGCATTTGTGTCTGCCACCATGGGCCTCACCACCTTCAGTCACAGGTACTGGCACCTAGACTGTCCTTACACTCTGTCTCTCGCCCTGAAACCAGCACTTTAAAAAATTTTTTATTTCAATGTGGTAGTGGTTCCCCAAAGGTTTGTCAGTTTTTTATTTTTGTTTTTCTCTTTTGTTATATATTCTTCCTATTGGTGATAATATTGGAAACCATTACATTCATTTTCATCGCTATGAGGACAGCAGCCTCTTAGACATTAAAGAGCTAAATATCCCACCACCTCTTCAAGTGAACACGTTTGTGTTTTGACAAAAAAATCCCAAATTATGGTGTTGAGCCCACCGAGCTTAACCAGGAAAGACTTTGCAGCATCTCCACTTATATTAGGCCTACAGGTAGAATGTTTGGTCTGCAGTTTGACCCACTCAGTGCACCTAATTCATTGAATTTCATTGTGTTTTGTAGTCTTGCTTTAGCCGCTTAAGAAAATAATAGTCCCAAAGTAGGCCTTTATTATCGTTAATTTGTCCTGGAAAAGGTCATGCCTGCTAAAAATGGGTCATTAGTATGTACTTTCATTCTTAATGAGGCTAAATAGCTTCCAAAACCACTGTTGTTTTTAGTAAACATTACTCAAAGGGAAGTAAATAGTGCATTTGGTGCGAGCTATTTTTAAGTGCAGATAAATACACATTTGGTGTGTTAGCAAGCATTTATGGCAGAGACGGTGTATGTCGGATTGAATCAAAATAAACTTTAGTGGCTGGGTTAATTAGGGAGCATGTCACCCAGTGCAACAGTGTGGCTCATTTCTGTGTTTAGTTTTTGGGAAATAATGGAAATTTATGACACAAAGGAATAAGAAAAATATCAGGCTTTGTCTGATGAGACAATAAATGCATGATTGCATGCTAAGAAGGAGTGAACAATGGTGGGTGTGTTGCTGCCGAGCAAGGACCAAGCAATGCGGAAACATTACTCATCAGGAAGCCTCAGCTGTGTGGTGTGATAAGACCTTATGATAGTTTATGACCTGTTTTTTCCTGTTCAGTGTGTCATTTTAAATGTTGCCCATCATTTAGAATTTTCATTTTTTTCATTTTTCTTCAATATGTAGTTGGGTATTGTATCTGAAAATCTCGTCACATTTTTAATTTTTGTGGAACACACTAGTTGGTCTTCAAGTTAATGTTTTCTAATGTCATTTTCCAATATAATATTAGTAGTGTTGTAACATTATTTAAGTTTCATAAAATGAGTCTTTATTAGTCCTGCACTTAATACTATAAATGGTAAAATCCCAAACATTTGTTACTATTACTCCATGTGTCTCCAACTGTCAATCAGGACAAACTGCAGATAATATTTCACATTTGTGGATCCTCAGTAACAATATTTTTTAATGAGCTTACTTTCTAAGCTTGTTATTCAGGTTCCAGACTTGATAAGTACAATATATGCAAGGAACAGTAAAGGTAAAGCCGCTGATAGCAGGCTGGGAACACAAGATAGACTGTCCACAATACATTTCCCTGAACAGACATTTATTTTTGGATCAAATCTTTTTATGGCGGAGATTTATCAGGCTGAAAATTGGTTTAACTCTGAAGCAGAAAGAGTCAATATAGCACCTTTTTTATAAGATAAAATGGCTAATGACGTGTTTCTTTTACAGCGGTGTATCTGTAAATGTTCAAGATCTTGCTCCTTCCTGTGCTGGAGCATTATTTGGTAAGTAAAATAAAGTATTTCCAGAATTTACAAAGAAATGTTTTTATAAAAATCACATTAATAGAAAACATTTTAGCACTAACAGATATTTTTTTCAAACCACAGGTTAAAGTTTGTTTTGTTTTTGTTTCTTCATGTGTGTGCATTTCTTTTACAGGTGTTATGAATACATGTGGTGCTTTCTCAGGTGAGTTTCTGTAACTTCAGGCAGAGACACTGAAATCAAATGTCTGTGGTGAAACTACTGTTTTCGCCTTCAACAATCTATTAAGTGAAATAATTCATCCACTCTAAAAATTCAAACTTTGAGCTGATGTGTCAGTCATGCTGGCTCCTATGTGTCATGCATATTTCATCAAGGGAGCATAATGGAGTTTGTGTGAGATGAATGATACAGAGAACAGAGGATGACAGTTAGCGGTCCTGTGAGGGGTGGTGTAATGGACTGTGACATTTTCTCTGCGGGAAATGGATCAATCACATGGAAGATACTTTATGCTTTGTTTATAATCTGCCATTAATGGTGACTCTGCGTGTGTGTTTCCTCCGCAGGGGTCCTAATGGTGTATTTTTCGGGGTATCTCATCGAGTCCACAGGCTCGTGGGCGACTGTGTTTGCCCTTATCACCACAGTCAACCTGCTGGGCCTGTGCACCTTCCTGGCCTTCGCTGAGGCCCGCCGGGTCGACATTGATTCTAGTAAGGTCCGCCACCACAACATCCACATCTAAATCATCAGTGGGACTAGAATCCTATTCCCAGAGAGATATGACCATAGGGCAACCTGCAGCTTGGAGGACTAGCCAATGGATAGCAATTGGCACATGGATAAAGCCCACATATAACATCTGGAAAACTTCGCTCGGCTCTGCGTCTGGTTGAGGACGTACTGCAACAGTTACTGAAAAGCACACAGCAGAGCCTGCACAATGTTATTGAAACGTCATGTAAAGCTAGAGCGTTGAATCCTAAAAAAAAACACAGTTTAGCTGTTAGTGGATGTTTGGTCAGTTCAGGGTGGAATGGGAAAGGTCACAGGAGAAAAATGTCTACACTACCTCCCGGTCCCAGCGTGCGCAGCATGCGGTGGGGAAACAGTTGCTGGGCTAATGTTGGCGCTTGTCATTTGTTACTTATAAGAAGATGCCATGGAAATTGTTATCCGTTGTGTCTGTGTGCGTGTCGGAGGAGCTGTGAGAGTGATGGATGTGTTAGTCTCAGGAGCTCTCTGACAGTTGTGATGGTGTTCTAACCCTACGGGGGGTGGGGGTGGTGTTGTGGGCACATGTGGGTGACGCAGGGAGAGTCAAGCCTCCTCGTACCTGAAGTCTTTTATTAGTGCGCCCCGCTCACTGAGTGTACTGTCTGAGTGACACCTCATTACCCAGCCACTAATTACTTAGCGGGCACTCTAAAGTCCCGTACGATTTACCTTCTACTGTCCCCATCTCCATGGTTACAAGCTCATCTTATCGTTATAGGTTGGTGGGGGTGAAAGGCGTCACGGTAACCTTCATGGTAACAAGGCTTTCTCTGAGTGTGTTCTCTCTGGTTGTCGTCTTGAAGGATATGTTTCGAGTAGGAAGACCAAAGTTTAAATAATTCTTTTATTTTCTTTAAGTGTGATTGGATGTAATAGAAATACCTCACTTAATTATTTTGAGTAATTATATATTTATAAAGCAAAATTTTTTTTGGTCAGTTTCAAACTTTTTTTGAAAAGAAATGTATTAGGTAAGATGACAGAAAATCATAGTAAGTTATAAAAAAAATGTGATGCAGTATAAATAACCCTAATAGACCTTTTGTGCAAGTCTAGATTCCTCACTTGTTTTCTGACCTGCACTCTCCTCTCTAAGGAGACAGGATTGGTGAAAAGAAACATGTCTGTATTAGCATCTTGGCGAAAACTGCACAGGCAGACAAGCAGTATCCCCAGCGTGTGTGTGTGTGTGTGTGTGTGTGTGTGTGTGTGTGTGTGTGTGTGTGTGTGTGTGTGTGTGTGTGTGTGTGTGTGTGTGTGTGTGTGTGTGTGTGTGTGTGTGTGTGTGTGTGTGTGTGTGTGTGTGTGTGTGTGTGTGTGTGTGTGTGTGTAAAGATCTATCGTTGTTACTGCACTTGACATCATTGTTACATTGGCGTGGATGCCGGATGTATTTGGGAAGGAGATAGTTAGGAGGGAGCCCATTCACTTGCCAAGGTGGTGTCAGATGTAGTGCATCTCCACTCATTAAAGCAGACTTGAATACCAGAGTCTCCATGTTACCCACTGACAAGATGAATGTTGAGAGGTGAGAGATTTTAAAGTGATACGTTGGGTCCACGGAGCCCCGTAAGGTCATATCTGTTTTATCTTGTGCGTGCAAGTTGTTTGTCTTGTGGAAGCAAGTTATTACCTCGTGCGTGCGAGCAAGTTATTATCGTGATTATAACTTGTACGCAAAAGTTTTTTTTGTAAAAGTCTTTCAGGACAGGCTCCTTACAATGCTGGAGGAAATTTGGTGTATTGGTATTACTTCAAAGTATGTAGCAAATGAAGCTAGCCGCGTAGCTCTGGCTGAATGTTGAAGAGATTGTAGCATTTCGATGTGGCGTTCACAGCACAGTATCCGTTTTACATTTTGAAGATTTCTTTTTCAATCTAGATGCTTACTTGACATGTGTACCTTGAATCTATGCATTAATTATTTTGTACCTGATTTAAGCCATGAGAGGATTGTAAGATATGCTCACCGTGGTCACATGTTGCTTCTGTGTAAGTTGTTACATACATACAAAGGCACCTATGCTTACGTTGGTTTGGATGTTTTTCTATAAACACTTGTGTGTGTTGGTGTGTGTCCTTTAGGTTGAATATCTTGTCAGTACAGATTTGATTACTGAAATGCCAAATATGTTATTTACATTGTCATGGTCAATGGTTGCAAAAATGTGGGCAATATTTTCATACCTTATGCTCTCTGTCTTTCAGAGTAAAGAGGCATTATTCTGTACTTTCCTACATCAAACGTATTTAAGTTATCTGTTTGTGTGTATGTTACAAAGACACATAAACCTACTGACTATGTTGCATAACTTATTTTAATATCTGATCAATTCTGAATGTCACTAAGTGTATGCCTAGACCTTTCAGACACACATATTTAAATAAGACCGCTGTACTAAATACTCAATATTTTTTTTTAGCTTTCTTTTGTCAAACGCCACACATTCCTCAAATGTTTTACCGGCCTTAGCAGATGTGCATTATTTACGACTGCCTTCATCGCTTGTCTCTATTTTCCCATTACTGTATTGACATTCTGCAAAATGTAAACATTTCCCATGCCAACATATCATACTGTAGGCCCCTGAAAGCATTCTGACCCCTAGTTTTTGATGACATATATGATTTAAAAAATGACAATAATGCAAGAAAATGCAGTGTTCTAATATGATGACATATTTAAAAGCATATGTTAACTTTGAATAAAAATATATTTTGTCAGCAACGGTGAGTCATTTCAGTATGCTGCACTACCTGCATGTATTTTCTCTGCAGTGCCACAGAGAGGCAGCACAGTATCAATAACGAGGAGAATATGTGATGCCTTCTAACCTCCAAATACTTCACAAACATTTTCTCTCATGTAGAATGGAGGCATGATGGTCTCTTGAAGTTTTCATTTACAACATGATTACATGAAAGATTATTTTCATACATCTATATGCATTACATACAGGTCAAGAATGAGCTGAGAACCAGTACATCAGTAGGCAATTCTGCATGTGGCTCAGCTGCTGAACAGGTCCTAGTGCAGATCTGTCCTGTTCACACCAGCGGCTCACTACAGGCCCAGATCCCGAGTCCGGGCTAGCGGGACGTATGTGGTGGCACCATATGGCAGGATGCTGTGTGCCATGTTGGCTAGCTGGCACTGCCCACGTGTGAATGGCCAGACGCTAGTCAACCCAACCCACTCCTTCTCATGGGACCGAACGGCTCAAGTTGCCATGGAGACGGGTGGCTTGTGGCTGCTGCGTGGCAGTGAAAAAAAAGGGAGGGGAGGGGTCACAAGTGAGTGAAAGTAACAAGTCAGATAGAAGTCAGTGGACTGCAGTGAGTTGGCAGTGGAGTTGGCTTTTGATGTACAGTTCATACAAAAACGGCCATGGTGTTAAAGAGGTGGTCGGTCACTTATTGGAGTGCTCTCACTAACAGAAAATGGTGTTGTAAAAGCAGACATAATCATGATGAGTGGCCCACTATTTAATTAGCAGAGATGAAACACTGTAAGGGGAGTGTGGAGGAAAGGGGAGAGAAACCCTCCCCCAACATGTCAGCTGGTAAGAGTAACCCAGTAAAGGCAGGCCCCATCAGAGAGCCAGAGATACATGTAAATGAAATAGCCCCATTAATTAGTAATTAACATCAAGTTAATGACATTTCACTGTGTCGCCATCTCATCCTATGTCCTTCCTCTGTGGTGGAGGGGCTGTCTCTCCGATCCCTGATCTGAATGCTAATTAGTTCAAAGCAAAACTGCCATATAGGGCTACCTAATGATATAGAGGAGCGGTTTAAGACTAGCTGTAGTGTGCGGAGGATTAATCACTTTGTAGTAGTAGATCAGGAGGCTTTATAAGTCTGCCGCTCCTTTAGAGGGTTGTGATATTGAGGGCCATTGACAGGTTTTATGTGCTAATTGCGTTGCGCCTGTTAGCCTAATGTTGAGTTATCCCTCATGACTTAGAACTACTTTTAACCATTCTCCTAGTTTTCACAACATATCCAAGAAATATTTCTGTTAAGTGTGCATAAAATGGTTTGGTATGTCAAATGTAATTATTTCAGGGTTTTGCATGGTTTGATTGAGTTTGAGGGCCCGAGATGTAGATACACTCTCATTTGTTTTGGGTCCCCTCCCGATTCTGAATCAGCTCTGGGACAGAGGTAATTTTACATGATTTGACTGCAGCGAGGTACAGTGTCTCTGTGAAGCCAGATGAAACATGAAGTTAACACTCACACACTGTACATAGCGGTGATCCTGGAATGGACAAGAATGTCAGCTCTAAAATTAAGGAAATGTATTCACACGTTGATGTGTGTGTCTGTGTGTGTTTGTATGTGTCTGTGTGTGTGTGGGGGGGGGGTGGATGTCCTGCAATGCTAAACTGTGCTTTGAGTCTGTGTCGCTGTCTCAGTTATGAATTCCTCCGGTTTCGTATAGCAATCAACATCTCTCTGGCTCTGCCTCTCCACTGTCGCCCTCTCTTCTTTTTTTCTTTTCCTTTCTTTCCAAACTCTGTTCTGATACATAATTGACCCTTTAAAGGGATCCCCTGATGCCCAAGCACATCTACCATTAGCACACCAGGGCACACACACAACCAAATATGTTGATTTCTGTCAATTAAACCCCATCAGCTGTTTGCCTCCTGCTAGACATATGGCCCGTGTTAAATCTAAAGAGCAAATGGAGCCGCCATTGAGAGGGGCATCTTTTTAATAGAACCCTGAGGGACAAGACCCACACCTGCGCGATAATAACATTAAACCATGCTCAACCCACTGGCCAGATGAGGACAGTGTTGGTTTGTGTGTGTGTGTGTGTGTGTGTGTGTGTGTGTGTGTGTGTGTGTGTGTGTGTGTACACACACACATGGCATTTGTTCTATCTTAATTCAGCCCCACCAGCAATAGGAATATTAGTGTTTACAGAACCAAGTAATATCCAGCACTGACAGCTTTTTCGGGAACTAACATTGCAGTAATGTCTGCTTCTATAGGCTCCACAGGTATGTTCAGTTTGAATTCTTCTTCACACTGTTTGTTTTCTGTTTTCAGAGAAGGGCAGCTCAGACTGTTTTCAGCCTAATATTTCTTATTATATAAGCCAGAAAAACAAAGACACACAAGTACTCCATCATTGCAAACTATCTCTCCCCTGCAGTCAGGGTGTATATATATATATTTTGGTTTGTTATTTTTCTTATTTTTCCAAATGAATGGTTATGCAGTTCACAGGTCCTCAGCCAGAAATGGAGACAAATGACTGAACAAATGTTTAGAAATATAATTTTAGAAAACAATATGGTGCTGTGCCTTTGGCAGGGAGCATCAGATGCTTAGTTTTAAGACAAAAAGAACAAATGAAATACTCTCACAACTGTGTAAATATAGCAAGTCTTTCCACTTCACCAATAACAATTTTGTTAAATGTGAATGCTTCTTTATTGCCGTACCAGTCGAACATTTACTTTATTGTCTTTAAACACTTAATTATTTCCATTATCGCTCAATCTGCTCATTATTTTCTTGATTAATTCTCTGGTCTGTAAAATGTAAATAAAACTTTCCCTTTGCTCTCAGTTGTTTTCCCATCACATCAGACAAAGAACAGCAGCAAATCTTCACAATTGAGCAGCTGGAACCATACAATGTAAAGTACTTTTGCTTAAAAATTACTTAAATATTACTTAAATGTTGATTATCAAAATAGTTAATTTTCTGTCAATCAAGTAACTGATTAATCAACTAATCATTTCAGCTCAAATTGTAAAATGCATATACAAGCAAAATCTAATTAAATACATGCAGTACATACCTCGCTATATTTTGAATCCATTAGGAATTATGAATAAAAAGTATACTATGTAATGAGGATAGATCAGAGAGAGAGATCAGTTCAGGAATCAAAATCAGTAATTCAATTGTTACTCGCTATATATAGCAGGTGTGCAGATCTAGGACAAGTTTTTTTCATTATTGATTGATCGGGGATAATTTTTTTTTTTATTAAGTCTCTAAACATCTGCAAATAGTGAAAAATATTTGAAAGCGGTGAAAAATTGTCCTTCAAAGTTTCTCAGAATCAAAGGTGATGTCTTCAAATTGCTTGTTTTGTTAGAGCAACAGTCCAAAGCCCAAAGATATTCAGTTTACAATGAGATAAAACTCAGCACATCCTGAGATTGGAAAGGCCAAAAGCAGAATATATTGGGCAGTTTTTGCTTGAAAAATAACTTGTTAACTTTAACTGTTAATCGGTTATCGAAATAGTTGCCGATTAAGTTTGTTGTTGATCGATTAATCGAGTAACTATTGCAGCTCTATGCAGATCTTTCCACACTTGCAAATGAGAAATACTAAATGATCCTCCAACAAAACAATAACCGCTAACCACCAAGGTTAGAGGGAGAAAAATGGGTTTTACACATGAGAAAAAAGAAAAATGATGAAATGTTGTTTAATACTTCTCTCTTGCTTATTATATTCACTCATAGTTGCTAATAATCAGCAGCATTCTGTTTGTGCATGCACGCGGGGAGGTTAAATACCCCCCCCCCCCCCCCCCCCCCCACACACACACACACACACACTCCCACCCTTCCACTCATCTGCTCCAGCTCTTCCCAGCTTCACACCGCTCACATCTCCAACACCACCAGATCTCCCCTTTTTTTCCTGCTTGCTCTTTACTAAAGTTTGGCTGTCAATCAGCAGTGGCCTCAGGCAACAGGCACTGATGAAAAGACCCCTGAGACAAGGAGACCCAAATTAGATTTCAATAAGGATGTTGAATATTCATATCAGGGAAACATCTAAAGGTAAGCGCTTTTTGATCTCCGCACACAAATATCACTTGTGTGCATTCCCAGGTCCTGGCGCTCTGGTTCTACAGTGTTTTCTCCCCCAGCCTGGTCCGGCCCCGGCCTCGGCTCTGTCTCGCTCCTCGGGGGATGAGATGGAATAATGATGATGGGGCTACAAAGGAGAAAAAGAGCCATAATGAATGTTTATACTAAAGGGACCCAATAGAAAGGGCATCCGTACTAAGTATTCAGTAATTAGTATTTAGCAGAAGTTGATCGCTGAGTGCACACATTCAAACATGCAGAGACACAAACACACACAGACACACACGTATCCGGGGCAGAATCACTGAGGCATAATCATTTGGTGTGTAAACTTTAGACAGGGGAACCTCCCTTGACAGCAGCAGTCAAAACACAGTTTCATTGCCCCTGTCAACATGTTTTCCTTTATTTTTATAATTGACTCCACTCAGAGTCTTTCTCCCCAAAATGTCAACAGAATTCACAATGTGGCTGTTTATTTTTCTGACCATACCTGTGTTGTGTTGCTCATCTCTCTACAGAATCATAATTATTGCACTCTGCGCATGAATATGTCTCCCAACCTCAGTACAAAAACTGTCCTTTTCTGTTTTACCTTTATGTGATTTTTGCTTGCAAAAATGTACTGGTTATGAGAGCTAAAAAAGACCCAACATCCGACAAACACCCTGAAGAAATTGCAATCACTTCCATCTTAGCAGAGATGGAAATGTGTGGCGATGGTGGAGGATGTGAGGGGGTTGCTGTGTGGTTGGGAAGGGGCGACTGCCTGAGGCTCTTTTCCCCACAGACAGTCCACTTTGCTCGGGAACACACCATGAAGTGAGTCCTGAAATGAGACCAAAGGATGGGAACACCATCTCGTCTTGACGCACGAAGGGACAATCCAGCTAATAGTCCACATCAACTTCTATCACCACTAATGCGTCAAGAGCGGCCATGATAGCCCCGATCAAGCAACTATGGCTCGTGATGCAGGGAGACAAGCCAACTCCATCCTTCAAAAGAGCTAATAAAAAGAACGCCATTCTGATCTTACATTATACTTTTCTCTTGTTATTTGTCTCACTCTGTGTTCCTCTCAACCCCCCCCACCCACCCTCCCACCCCTTCCTTACAACATGATGGTCAGTCCATTGCCAGGCAATCTGGTCTGTGATGTTGTTCACACCTCCATCGAGCCAAAAAGAAAAAAAAAAATCTTTGACAAGATATGATGACTTGCCCAGGTGGTGTGTTTCACTGGTCTCTTGGTCTTACGGGTGAGGGCAACCTACCAAGCAAGTGTGTGTGTGTGTGTGTACATCTGCCTACAGTATATGATGGTGTGTTTACCCCAGGCTGTGGTGCTGTGATGCTGAGTGTCACCCCGCTCCGGCCTGAGCCCTGCAGCCAGAGAAACCAGCTGTGAAACTGACAGGTTTGTCTTCTGCACTCACCTACACTCTTTCTTCCCCTGCACACACACACACACACACACGCACTGATACATACACATGCAACCACATAGACATAATGAGGCACACATGCAGACACAGTTTCATGGCCTGAGGTTTAAGTACACATGCACACACAAGCCCCCCCACCCCCACATCCACACATATCCACAGACCATCACACAAGCTGCAGGCAGTCTCTCTCATGCCAGCTACAAACACAGTGCAAAAGGAATATGCTTACAGAGCTCCAATATATAGTGGCTACTCATAACCTGAACACATTTTTACAATTTGATGAAATTCAGCAAAGATATTGAATATTGAAGTGACCTTCTTTTCTCCTCGTTTAACCACTGGATCATGGCACATGTTCAACCACGTTGTTTAACTGAGCTGTGAATAAGTCAGGTATTTAATGTCTTTCAAAGAAATCAGTTACGAGATAAATTAGACGTCAGTGCCTCTTACTCAAGAAAACAGCTAACATCAACAAAACAGGGAAAGGCAATCCAATTATAATTTAAGCAGTTTAAGGTGATATGTGTGAAAATACAGTTACAGTTAATACAAAAAACTTGTTTCTAACCTGTTTTATATATTATATAATGATTCCAAACATCTACTGCAAACATTTATTTTTACATGCACATTAATTATTTAAAAAAACATTTTGTGATTTATCATATTGTATTATTCATGCAAATAAACCAAATATAATTTAGAACACAGAGGAAAATGCAATATATAATGTATTTCCTCTTGGTTTTAGTAACATTAGTAAGTCCAATACATCTTTTGCACATTTTATTTTCCATGTTCCCTGAGAGTTCAGGTAATGTTTAATTAGAAATTGAACCTAATAAACAGGTCCGATCCTCATATACATTCACAAGGATTTGCATGATCCAACACGACTTCATTCTCCCATGTGAATGCGTGTACCTTGCAGAATACACATGTAGGCTTGCATGCAGGTATTGTAGCACATACATGTACATGTGTATTCTGTATCATGTAGGTCAATGAGGACCCGTGACATTGCCACAAGCATCTGAACTCGTGGTCCGTCCAGGAAAAGCTGATGAGATACCCTCAGGAGATGCTGCCTTCTATGCCACCTTCCCCCACACCAAACGCACACCTAGCGTGCACACAAACCCTCACACACACCCTCACACACACACACACACACACACACACACACACACACACAGACTTTGACACACAGTAGTGAAGGATGCCATGTGTATCCAGGTGTCTGGCCGTGCTGTAGCACCCTTCAGGTGTCACAACGACAGAAATCAGTGTTCTGACCAGAAAGTCTGCAGGCAGCATGCGTGTGTACACAAATGTGTGTGTATGTGTGTGTGTGTTGGCGCATCTGTGCACACATATATGCATGCGTGCTTGTGTGTGTACTTGTGGTGGCTTATTCCTAGAGGGTGGGGGTGAGAAAAACAAGTGAGAAAAACAGCAAAACAAGTTAAGAGACAATGAAGAAAGCAACAGTGGCACCTGTTTCCACCGGTGTGGAGGGTGAACAATCCGCCTGAGAAACCACACTGCCTGGTCCTTTGATGTTCTCTGCCACTAATGATGCCATTGATAATTTTATCTCTAGATATTTTAGTCCCAACAGCATGCACTATATCACCTTTATCTCTCCTTCTAACCCTCCATAAACATGCTCCCTTCCAAACACACATGCACACTTTCTTTTTTTTTTGGGTTCAGTTATGTGGCCAGATGTCCAAGTTGACATAGCGCTTAAGGCGTTTGACTGGATGAAACAGTGCATTGGCTGCGGGTAAAGAGGGATTAAAACAGGGCCCGAGGCACTTGTGTTATATTGAAAACATCCTGGGCTGCTTTGTATGGAGATTTGCATACATTGGGGTCTGTGCGGCGATGGCCCATCTGCTGAAGTGCATTGTCCCCAAACAACAAAGTGTGTTTAAATATTTCACATCTCCATCTTCTGGGACATAGGTACACAGAAAAGAGTGGAGAGTGAGTGAGAGAAATAGAGGGCAACGGGGGGGGGGCTTAAAAAAAACAACAAAAAAAGGAACGAGAAGATTGGCACAGCTTTGAATTTGAACTGCTCCCAAATGTGCCTCAGTCAGAGCCACAGTAAATAACACTATTGCCGGCCAGGATCTGGGAAAATGAGGAGAATCTAAATATAATATGCTGTAAATCTGAATTCTGGTGGAAAACATAGTTGTCTGAATACAGAAATGGAGATGTGAAATGTATGTTTTGTGCTATGATTATGCTCGGGAATGTTCAGCTAAATATGAAAACAGGTTTGAATAGCACACATGCAGCTTAAATTTTTTTTACATTTGACTGTTGAAACTTTGAACACATGCAACTCTGTAGCTAATACTAATATTGATAGATTTTTTTTTGCCAGCTTGCAGTGTCAAATTAACTATGAAAGTTACTGACTATGTTGATTAAAAAAAAAAACCAAAACTGGCAAATATCCATAGCAGACAGTTTGTTACAGACTGGTCTAGTATTAAGTTATCATCCCTTTAGCCCAAACTCTCTTTATTGTATTAATGCCATAACTCTGGATTTCTGTGACATTTAATGGCACTGTAAAATTAGATAATTACTGTAATATATCTGTGTACTCATGCCCGTTTCCGAGGTCAGAAACATAAAAATTAATAAGGAACAAGTGGGAGAAAGGGGACAGAGTAGAGAGATTAATTGAGAGTGTGTGTGTGTGTGTGTGTGTGTGTGTGTGTGTCTGTGTGCGTGTGCAAGAGTGGGTTAAGTGACAAAGATGGCAAAAGTTAGTTTTATTAATGCAAAGAGAACACAGTCCGAAGTTACTTTGACATCCAGTGTTGATGTATCCTCTCTCGATACCCCTGCATTTTTATTTTCACTCTCCTCTCCCCGTGTGTCTTCCACCAAAACACACATCAAATGAAAAACATGCTCAGGGCAGTCGATGGTGGATGGAACAGTAAGGTGATTTAACGACGGGACGGTTTGTGTGTAGGCTGGACAGCCTGGTGCAGCCTCCGTCTTCACAACCCGCACACACAAGACCATGCGCACATTTACACGTACGCACACACACAGACAGACACACGCACTGACACCAAATATCTGAAAAAACAGCCAAGATGGACGGGAGGAACATGTTGCCTGCACGGGGGAGGATTTTGGAAAGAAGAGCGTGGTCAATCTGTTTGTTTCTCTGCCACATCCAAGAAGAGTGATAATTTCATTTTTCTTTCATTATTTTCTCCCTTTTATTGTACTCCTAATGTCAGATTTTGAAAGCTGCTGAGGTTTATATTTAAGAAAAGAGCATATCAGACAATGGTTTTTATTTATTTAACAACAAAATGTCAAGCGTTCTGTCTCTTCTTGTTCCCTGGAAGTGAGACATCAAAACCGCAAATACAGACAGCCCCATTGCTACCTGAACCTCGTCCCTCTTAATGCCATGTCTCGCTGCATCTCCCTCTGTCTAATCATATCTCATAAGCCAGTTCATTTATGCAAACCCTTTAGTCGTAGAAGGTCACGATTGGAGAGTCTGTGAAAAAGTATAACAGACACACATTAACCCCCATTTAATCAGGATTACAGAGAACAACCAAGCATTATTAAACACACATCACAGAGCATGGCAGCAGTAGGGAAATATGGGGCACACACATACACACACAAACACAAATCCAGCACAATCAATCTAATGGTGTGCATTAGTTAACTGCCAAATGTTGGGCTTTTTATGGCAGGATCACCCATCCCTTGAAAAGATAAATACGGTGCACAGATCCCAGTAATTACAGCAATCCCCTTACAGCACACAGAGACCGTCCTCACCCACCAGCCTCTCTGTAGTACTGTCGCCCTGTAGATTAAGTCATTTAGGACAGTTTTAGGGCACAGGGGTGACTGGCAGAAGAGCTGGATGGAGAGGAGACAAAAGGATAGACAGGGATCGCGTTAATGTGTTTTGTCTTGACAGTATTTTGGGGGAGGGGTTTTGATTTGCCAAACATTTAGACACAGCAGATAAAATTAAGAGATGAGGACACATGCACATTGACTCACTTATGATGGACTGTATGTAGCACATTGGCAAACACATCATATCTCTTAGTGGCGTTCTGTTAACGTTCTGTGATTTTCTGAGGTTATACCAAGTATTATATAATCTTCCAACTAATGAATGAGTGAATGAATTGGAACTTCACTCTTCAGTCAAAACATAAAGTAAAAGTTCATGGCCTTTGTGTGGATAGTATCAAATAAATGTGCAACTAGAAGACTGCACTCAGTAGAGTGGAGATCTCCGCCAGGTGTCTCTGGGGGCATGTGGGTAGGGAACGTGGCAGTCTGTGAGTGTATGCATGAGAGTAGTGGAATGAAGTGGATAAAGTTTTTTAGTATAGTATTGTGTCTGACTTTTCTTCTATAGATGTGTGCAAAGTTTTTAAAAGTGTTTTTGTATAGTATAGTTTTCTTTAAGATGCATAGAATGGTGTAATGGTATTGTAACTGAGCATCCTGGGTTCACCCAACTGTTTAAACTTAACAAGGAAACAACAACAATAACTGGACGATAAGTCCAGCACCAAAATGTGGCCTGTAACAGACTGGGTAAGCCTTATTTTCAACTAGCCAATTTCTGGAATTGCATTTTACACATCTTAAAATGGCGAACACTGCTGAAAAAGACATTTTCAAAAATGTTCACTACAACCACAAGAGGTCCTTGAGCATATAGCCATACATGTGCCCAACATTTTTTAGGCTGATGGGTACAGTAGTATAAGAAATTAGCTACGGACAGAAACACACGTTCACACACAACCAAACACATGATCATAATAATATCATTATGTAAATGGGGTGGAAAACAATTGTGATTATATGCACAATATAATACAACCGAATATGATAGATATGCAATAAACAGGAAGTGTATAATGTAAAAATTTTGTTGAGACTGTTATCAGCTTTCTGATTAATAAAAAAAAATTCATTAGAGCCATAGTTTGTGGACTTTATGCATTAAAACACAATGCAATGCAATGATATGGTGTTTCTGTCAGTATGTCCGAAATAAAGAGACCTTACAAACATCTAAAAATACAATGTTGACTCAACACCTCACTGACATAGACTGAAAACATTTCCCATGTTTAGGTTTGGATTGTGGTGCATTTAGCTGTAAAAATATTTTTAAAGGTGCTACATGGAGTTTCCTTGTAAACAATGTTCACATTCAGTGTTACTCACCAAAACGCATTGTGTGTATACTTGAAGCCTAACACACGTCAAATGCATTTCTTTCCTCTGAGTATTTTAAGGCATACTTTATTTACATTCATGTTTGCTAGCTTGCAGTCTTTTTCTTCACTGCCTTTGCAATGCTTCTTTGTGCGTTACCGCCTGCAGCTGTCGATCAGCAGAAAAGCCGAAAGTGATGGCTGGAATGTGTTTTCCGTTGGTTGCCGACTCTATTGCTATTACTATTACTATATACTATTGATAAAAACAAAACAGCGATCCACTCATAAAAAAATTGCTTCTTAGCATCCCTAGTGGCCAAAAACTCCATGCAGTACCTTTCCACTAAATGTTTTACAGCTTCACGTGTCTACTTCTTGCATGCAATGAAATCCCATTACTGTCAAATAAAAACAGTCTTCTGTCTTCATAACTGTTTCTCTCTCAAAAAACTTGCTTTAGAAATGTTGATACATTTTTTTCTGGTATAGATCACGGTGTGTGTGTGTATAAAGGGCAGTAATGGGTTCAGTTTAGAAAAGGGAACCGAGTAAAGCCTTCAGGCCACAGGGCGATTGATGTCCAGCGGGTGGCTTAGGAATACTAACTCACACTGCTCTCTGACTGCATCTAAAACTCTCATTAGTTTAAGTGTGTGAGAGTTCTCTGCCTCTGCACCCTTCAGACCACACAGAGAGGCAGAGGGCCAAAACCTACTCAGATGGCTTTCACTGCAGGGGAGGCATCCAAGGAGGTGAACGTGCATGTCTGCAAGCATGCAAACTTTCACACAAAAACACATTTTTACACACACAATTGTCTCTCGGCCCTACGGTATTTCTTTCTGTATTTTTCTTGCAGCCTGCATGTACATAACCGTGAGCATGCAGCTTAACAGCAGGGGCCTAATGAGGTCTGAATTATGAGCGGTAAACATTTGTATGGACAGATGTGGATTAATGTTCATCTTTTCTTCAAGCCAGAGATTAAACCTGGATTCGTTTTTTTTCTTTCCATTTGATTACAGAGAGATGGAAATGAAGGCAGGAGGTAAATGAGACACAGTGGGAAAGAGAGACAAAGGAAGAAAACAGAGTGATTGTGTCTCTTACTTATGGGGAAGTTGCCAGAAGAAGCCAGACAGTGAAAGTGGAAGGAACAAAGACAAAAAAGTAGCTGGATCGGATGGAAGGGGAGGCAGAGGGAACCGTCAGATGCTCCTCATTCCTGTTGTGGGTTGCCGAAGTGAAGGAGGAGAAATTTGAGTCATGGGGACGGAATCAGAAATGTCAACAGATTGAGTCAGAGCAGAGCTGATACCGTCTGGAAGGAGAGAGTATCAACACTGACTGAGGGGCACGCAAGATTTTGGGACCGTCACTGGGCTAATGGAAAAATTATTGGACATTATGTGTGTACATGTGTGGATGTGTGTGTACGTGTTGCATGGGGGAGGATGTGGGATTGGCTTAGTCTGCTGTCTATAATGAATGGTTAATGTTAGTCGGGGAAAAAATGAATACGGTCACCATCTGCTCGATCTAAGTCTGCGTTCTGTGCATGCGTGTGTCCACATTTGTGTGTATGACGATCATACAGACACACACAGACACACACGCACACACACACACACACACACACACAATGTGCTCTTGGAGAGGGATTTGGAAATATGGAATGGAAGAAAAGGGAGGGAGGAAGAAACAGAGAAGGAAACAGATAACAGTAGAGAGATGTGCGAGAAAAACCTGCACAAAACCAGAGAAAGAGACAATGAATGTGACAGAAAAAGAGAGAAAAAGTGATATTCTTGTGGGCAATATCATACTTGTTTAGATGTAACAGAGATGCAGATACAGGTGAGCACAAATAGGGCAAATAAGTCATGAATTCTGTCAGGATTCACAAGCACATGTAGCCTGTGGCTGCAAACACATACTGTCTTAACACACACATACACCAAAAATATTCACAAAGCACTATAAAGGAATAGAACGTGTTTTTTTCTAAAACTGTACAGGAAATTGACTTTGACCATGCACAGATGGTCAAAGTATAACATTTTTTTACTTGATTAAAATTAGTAATACCACCATGTAAAAATACAAAAATACTCCATTACAAGTAAAAATTATTTAAGTAAAAGTACAGATATATTGTCAGTAAAATTTACTTACTGTAAGTGTTAAAGTAAAAGTACTTATTATGCAGATTGGATTCTGTATTTATAATAATGGATTGTCATTATTTATGCATGCATGTCTAAAGACAATTATAATGTTGTTGCTGGTTGACATGCAGTCAATTCTGAAAACTGTCTGTGCTATCACTAGTTTAATCTACATCATTTTGTCATATTTAATTAAGTGGTTGCATGTTTTTTTTATGTTTAATACAGTTGTCAAAAGAATGTAGTGCAGAAGAAGTGCAATATTTTCTTTTGACATGTTGTGAGGTAGAAGTATAAGTAGCATATAATGGAAATACTAATAAGTATCCTTAAATTGTAATTCAGTAATAATTACCTCCCACCAATGCAAATACAATGTAAAGACTTACAGAGCACATTTTTAGTCTTTGTTATTCAAAATGCTCATGTTCCGAAGTTGAGTCCCATATACTGAATAACTGCCAGGAGTTCGGTGTGAAATTAAAAAGTAAGTGTTAGACTTATGTAAGATCCAGTAAATAGTTTTGAAGGGCTAGGTAGGCATGATATTTATGATGTTATAGAAAGTGTAGTTTAAATGTTACGATCAAAAATTTAGGACCTCTCTACAGCTATCTATTACTAGACTACCCTTTGAATACACAGTAACAGTATTTAAAGCTTTAGGGGGATTACAAGTCTTGAGGACACTGGAACAGTATCATCCCCGGCTGTGCTCACACATAAACACACACACACTCTCTCGCCCACTCCCACACCAACACAGAACAAATGCATGTCCGTTCATTTTTCTTTTCTGTGAACACGTCACATTTGTCTCCAAAGTTTAAAAAACTGGAGAAAAAAACCTACAGTTTTCATGTATCATTATGCTATTGGGTAGCCATGACAGAGAGGAGCTGCAGCACAGATAAAACATTTGTGATACATCTCTGAACACTGGGTTGATAAGTAAATACAGCCTACATTGATAATCCTCATGTCACTATGCGGTCTGTATTATGCAGAGTTGCATGCACAAACACACGTACACAATCACACGCGCGCACACACACACACACACACACACTGCCAGGTTGTGATTAAATTCTCTGTGGCCTATGATCCGCCTCTAAATCTTTGCAATTTTCATTTTATGCAGCTTTAATATGGATCATAGTTGCTCTCTGAGTGCCCCATCTCCTAATCTGGAGCAATCTGAGCTGAGCCTGGCTTGGCCAACAGCTGACGCTAAGTCAACCAGTCACACTCAACCAGCCAGCAAGTCAGCCACAAAGCCTCTGTGCAGTTGGTAGGCCCAAAATGCCATGAGATTGGAGAAGGTGGAAATATTTTTTGAGGACTTTTTATGAAATAGTTTGGCAGATTTGTAACAACTGAATTAATTTGTGTATTGTTAACAGAAACAACTAAGCTGAGAAGGGTGTCTGACAGCAAATAAAGGAAAAAACAATGCATCTACCATGTTGTCAATTTTGCAGAAAAGGAAGATTTTAGTGAAAAAATGCCACTCACGTTGTTGCTGCTGATGACAAATACTGTACATGTGCATAGACATAAATCTTGATCTGGTTATGATCCGATGGGCCTGGTTGAGTGCTTGTGCAGAGGTTGAAAGAGGCAGAGGGAGGGGCTGAAGGGGACGTTTGTTGAGGTCGCGGAGATGTGGTGTGTTTGGGTTGTACCGTGTTAGGGCATATTAAAGACACACACACACATACAGTAGATTTTCACATGATATTCAGTACATACAAACACATTAACATGCACACACACACACACACACAAAAGATGACCCTGTTTTTCAGAGCAATGGGGAGGGGGGGGGGGCATAAGAGGATTAAGTCATTAAGGGTGCACTGTTAAAAAATGTATATTAATATTGTAATGCTTACATCCAGGAATTCCAAACCCACTCTCTTAGATATGCATTCATTGTATTTCCTGTATAGTTTAGTAGCAGACGTAGGAATTTGCTTGTTGGTGTCTTGTTTCTCTCAATCTACATTAAATTGTCATGTCAAAATACCAACGAGTATCCAGCTGAAGTGTTGGACCAGGAGCTGGCACCCTGCTGGGCCTCATGTAAATAATACTGCTGCTGATACAAACTGAGCAAAGCTAATGCTAGGCTTAACTCTCTCTGGCTCACACACACACACACACACACACACACACACACACACACAGTAGCATGTGCGCATTACATTGCAAGTTTGCTTTGCTTCGTAACTAACTGTAGATGAATCCATCTAGTTGTGATGATTATTTCTTCCGATGATTACTGTTACTGGTGTTTATGAGGAACAGAGAGTGAAAATGTAAGAGGGAAAGTGAACATCAGGGGAAGGGGGTCACCCCACCACCTCAGCCTGCCTAATCCTCCCAGTGGCAGACGGCAAGGCTGGTTAGATATCAGGAAACCCTTATGGACATATTAGAGAGCAGTGCTTTTACACCTTGGTGGCCACATTTGTTATTTATGTAAGTATGGTAGGTATAATGAATGACTGTTATAGAAAAAATGTTATGCTTTTTAAATTACATAATGTATGTTGCATATAGCGTGTACAGTAAATGTTTAGGTGGCTCTCATGCCCATTCTATATTGAAAATAGTTAACACTGCAGACATGTAATTACATACATTTTCAGTTGAACTCAAAAACCTCCTCTGATAGGTCAGTAACTGCGTTGCTTTCATCTTTTGTGCATTGTTCATGACACAGTTTATCCTCATGACATTTGCTTGTCCATAATCTGTCTATTATCTGTCTAGGGATGTTCCTCCGACTAATCCATCTTTGCTAACATCCAGTTTCACATTAAAATGTTAAAGGTCCCCCCACACCAAACACAACCCATCCTGACAGCCAACCGTCTAAACCCCATACTCTCTCTTCAACCTGTGCATCTGTGGTGGCAAAACCTTAAAGGATGAGTCTGGTGAAATTCTATAACAATGAATTCATCCTGAGTATCCCCTGTGTAGCCAAAGGATGTGCAATAGATCTACAATTGTCAAAAAAAAAAACTCTTTTCATGAAATGTGATGACAATAAGAAAATAGAGAATATTGCCAGCCTCATCCTTTAAAACACTAAACACACTAATCCTGGTTTTTGTATGTTTCTGTCAAAAAATTGGCCACACATTGTGCACCATCTGGAAAAATATGTATATTAGATCACTTATTACTCAAGAACAATATGAAAAATGGCACAAACATGTCCTGTAATAAACTATGCAATACAGTGCTTTGTGGCATACCAGCGGTATGGTTTTAATGTCCCTCTCTGTGCTGAGACATTAAGGCCGCTGTCTCCCTGTCAGGAAGTGGACAAGTGCAGGTTCACCTCAGTGAGCATGATTAAATCACACAATAACCTCCTTCCTCTTATCAAATCCTCTTAAGCAGGCTGTATTACATATCTGCCAAACAAAGAAAACTCAATCAGAACAATCAACCAAGCCAGGCCAAGCCCGCCCTACCAGCTTGTCTGATCCCATTGCCATGATTAAAATGAAAATGGAGCCGGAATATTACCAGAAATCCCATGTTCACCTTATAAGGAAGATCAGAAGTCTGTGTGTGTGTGTGTGTGTGTGTGTGCGCGCGCGTGCGCACAAAAGGGGATAATATAAATGTGTCCTGTGTAATTCCCTAGCTTAAATCACAAAACACTGTTTTTATTGTTTGAAATATTAATAGAAGAAAGATTACGATTGATGGGATTGGATTAGTAATATTTAGCAATTTCCATTCTCAAAAAGTAATAAATGAATGTGTTTGTGAGCAATGTGTTTTGAGGAAAACATGTTTTCATTGTGCTGCACGGCAGCAACCTGTAGGAATATGTGAAAGTCAAAACAACTTCACAAATGTGCTGCTGGATTTTAAATTGTGGTTGTTACAAAATAGGTATAAAGTACTGGTTTTAAAATATTAAATACAAATCAAGTGAACTTTTACATACACATTTCAGAATACCATGTTCCATAGCATAACACAGTGCTTAGGGCTTCAAATAATGATTATTTTCATTACTGATTATTGGCAATCATTTTCTCCACGGAGAACAATGTCTGGTACAATTTGCCACAGCCCAAGGTGATGTCATGTCAAATGTTTTCTCCTAAGTCCAAAACCCAGACTTATTCACTCGTTTACTGTCATGTATGACAAAGAAAAGTACCAGATATTCACCTTTGAGAAGTTGTAACCAGCAAATATTTGGCACTTCTCAAAAAAATAAAGAAAAATATTAGTAGTTTTTAGATTAGATTTGTTTCCATTCATTTTGCAGTTTAAAATCAACTTGCAGACACTTGAAACTTAAAATAGACAATCCATCACATTTTTGTCAGCATTATTTTTAGCTACCACCTAGACAATAAAATAACTTGTAAAAAATGTAAATCAAGACCATATCATGTTGATGACTAAATATTAATCTCAAGTAAGTTTTAAGCCAATAACAACCTCTGTGTTTTTATTTTTATTTTGTACATGTGATTAGTCATTCACAGTCCGAAACATACAGAACCACATAACATGCAAAGTCACCATTATGGTCCTTTGATAAATTATGCATGTTTTGTGTACAAATCATTTTGTGTGTGTGTGTGTGTGTGTGTGTTTGTGTGTTAGAGACTCCTGGGCTGGCTTACAGTAAGAGGCAAGCTTCACATTACTGTTGCTCCAATTCACTTCCTGGGATAATCCTTAACACAACAGAGGGAACGGCAGGTGACCTGGACCAACAGAGATACAGTATGGGGCTCCATTAACAAGTACACACACGCACGCACACATACACGTATACACATTTTCACACACAGAACCATCCATTCATAAATAATATCAATATGACCCTCCCTTCACCCTTCATTCTTTCCCTCTGCTTTATCTCCACTCCTCTGTCGTAGTTTGCTCTCTTTCCCTCCCCTCCTCAACTCTTAGTGAAACATATTGTTGCCCTGCTGCCTGAGATGACGGTGTGTCATTCATCCAAGGCCCCAAAGTCACCTCCTCCATTAACAGGCACTGTCTAATTAAACCAGTAAATGACAAACACATAGACGCATACACAGGCCGTGCTCTAATGGTCCACTGTAGCAGGAGACTGATGGGCAGCTGTCTCTTGTACATCCTCTGTGCAGATCAACCTTGAGACAGATGACCTGGGGGACGTCTATTGGACCACTGAGATAACACTGGAAGGTTAGCAGAGCATTGATAATGAATGATTTATACACAGTACCCTGGCAGTTAGATTAGTTAATTGATTCATTAATTGAGAACAATATTGTCTTTTAACAAGGTGATGTATTCATTGCCGTGTTGGTATGTCTCACATATGAGTTCATCTCTTTCCAGATATTCATATTAGCAAAACAAAAACAGCGGGCAATACCACGGAAACAAACAAGAGGTGTTTTTCTGTTGTTTGACTCGGGATCAAAAACAATTGGAGAACAATAACTGCTCCGCAGATCATATCCGGCGTTATTATCCTCTTATTTGCATTCTATGAAAGAGGAATAACAAGGTAGTGGAGCTGTGGCTTATCTACAGCTCCTGTATTAACCACTGTGGCATTAGCATTAGCAGACTAAAGGTAAGTCCTTCATGTAGCCTGTAATGCTACATCAAGGGAGGGTGACAAAAATCAAGTCTTTCTTACTGAGAAAGAAAGACAAGAGAAACAGCTTTTTTGTGTAATATTCTTGCTGGAACTCTCTCCACAATGCAGCCTCCTGTTTCTATTTGTTTCTGTCTGTCTTTTTCAATCTCTAAAATCATCCACTCTCCTATCATGGTGTCCTGAAGAAACCTTGGGATGAAAAAAAACAAAAAGCTCAAATCCATTTCCATATTAGTATGAAAATGTTAGAATATTTCAGAGGAATTATCCCTTCCACAAAACAGAATAAAACCCCTCTTACTCCTGTTAATCCTTCAAAGACTGTGATATTACCTGATAGGATGTTGTACAGTGTGAATACTATCAACAAGACATGCCGAAAATAATGTAAGCAGGTCCCCATTGTGGAGATTAGAGTGAGCACGTCTCTCTCCCAATTTATCTCTTCCCCGAAATGCAGCGCCTCATTTTCTATGTATTTCCCCCTCTCTCCCTCCTCTGCCTTCTTTTCCTTCCTCTGGTTCCAGATTGAATTATCAACTAACTGGAAGCTACTTGTTTCTTTCCCTTTGTCCCACAGCTTATAAAACAAAATGTACAAATTGTGCAGGACAGGGGTTAATGAACTTTAGACAGCTTTATTAATCCCCAGTGGAGAAACTCATTTGCCACCAAGTCATCTCATACAGACAATGAACAATATAGACATTCACAGAGGTAAATAATGAGAGCGTAACGGAATGGTTTGAGGGAACATCGTGTATGTAAAAGTGTTCATATGAGATTGGGATACTAGTGGCCAGCAGCCACCACAGACACTATTTAAAAAAAAAACACTTTATGGACAAATTAAAATGACACTGATAAAAGGGGGTACAATGGTTCATTACCAAACTACAGACATTCCCATCAGCTTTAGCTGTACTAATGTTGAAACTAAGATGGTGAACATGGTAAATGGCAACATTTATTAGGGCTTTCATCCAAATTGCTTTACAGTTTGCCTCTCATTCACCCATTTACACACTCACACACACCCACACCAATGGCAGCGTGCTACCGTCATGTAAGGCAGTGGCGAGCAATTTGGGGTTCAGCGTCTCACCGAAAGGACACTTTGACGTGAGGACAGGAGAAGCTGGGGATTGAACTGCCAACTTTGTGATTAGTGAACGAGCCGCTCTACCTCCTGGGACACAGCCACCCAGATGGTAGATATTATAAATGCTAAATATCAGCATGTTAGCATTGCCAGTGTGAGCATGCTGCTATGCTGACATTAGCATTTAGCTCACAGCTGCTAGCAATGCTATAAACTCGTCTTGTTAAATTTATTTTGTTTCTATACCATGTCCATCTTATTCTTTGTTCTGTTTCGTTTTTTCTTGTTGATGTTTCAAGTGAAATTCTTCATCAGAGACCCGGGAAGGCTTGCTATGGCCTTATTTGCCCACTAAAGTAATTCACTGATCTAGTTGCATTTTGAGCTATGAAACCTTCTGACCACATTTTCCCACATTGTCATAACCAGAACAGATTATGTACAGCAAGGTAAAGAAAATGAATTGGAAATAATTACCTGCAGGGTGGCTGAGAACACGACTGACTGATGTACACTTAACCTCGCCACAGTGCACCAAAGGCGCCTCATGTCATAGAGCAAAGTGCTCAGGCTGTTTGTGTGGTAATTGGTCCTAGAGAAAGGAAAATCCCACAGACTGAGCTGCAGGACACTCAAACCCCCTCAAGTCTGGCTCTTTTCTGCTCTATACATATTGAACAGTGGAGTCAGGGGGCTAAGAAGATTATCACAATGGGATGAAGAGGCTGTAAGAGCCTTTGTAGCCTTAGTATTGTGGTGCACAGTGAAAGTTGCTAATGCACTCTCAAGCCCTTAAACTGCTTGACCTTAAAAGCTATATTTATGAGCTTTTAAAGAAAACGCAGTAAAACAGGGAGGGAATAAAAAAAAGTAAACACAAAACATAAAATGGCAAAACAAGGCGCTAACTATTGTAGTCAGTATTACAGAGAATACAAAAAACGTCAGGTAGAGAATGGGTGTCATCAAGTGTTAATGTCTTATTTTCATTTAAAATGTAAATATCCTCAGTGCACCTTCCTCACTCAGTGCAGGGTTATTTTGTGTGCATGTGTGATTGTGTGTGTGGTGAGAGCGACTGAAGCATTGACATGACATGAAGAGTTATTTGGGCTGTAATGAAGCTGCTTAATGAAATCAGTGCCCTTGAAAGTTCTTCATCAATTTTAGCTCCCTTGCTCACTTGCTCGCACTCCACCATTCCAGCCTGTCAGCTAATCCACGTGCGCGACACAATATTAATTAAACACAGCGTATCCTGAAGTACTTAAGTGAAGCGCTATCATTGATAATGAGCAGGTTTAAAGGAGTCACATCCCTCCAAAATTACTTTTTAAACCAGCCTTATTAAGCAGAAAATGAGGCCCAAATCAGCCTACAAGCTCCTCATTAAAAGCCACTGATCCTTGGCCAGGCGCATGTTCCAATGGTTTTAATTAGGCTAACGCAAGATCGTCGGCGACAGGAAGTGCCATTAATCTTGTCTTTTCATTCAGACACAGGGGGGGTGGGGGGACAGCATGTTGCAGCCTGGTGCCTCAAATGCCACAACGGGATGAGAATTAGAAAATCGAGTGACATACTTTGAATTGTTCTTCATTTGTGTAGACTCAGACAGAAGCGAGGGGAAAATATATTTTACAATTCCCCTTTGTTACAACCTTTAGTAACACTTGATAATAACAAGACAGTCTGGCTAAGTGCAATGTTAGTTACACACACACACACACACAAACAGGATGAAATGTGTCTTCATTTTCCCTGTGTGTGTATGAGTTGCACTCAGGGTAGAGGATGGTCCCGTCCCTGCCTGTCACACCTTCTCCGCATGGAGGATTATGGATGGCCAATTACATCGCTTTTGTCATTAATTAATGAGGATAACGAGCTCCCCCTGCTCCCCACAAAACCATGGTGCTCCTCAGCTGGTACTGAACAAGGCGATGGGTGCTTGGCCATGTGTGTGTGTGTGTGTGTGTGTGTGTGTGTGTGTGCATGTGTGTTTACAAGAGAGACAGCAAGGGAGAAAGAGATACAGAGAGTAGTCTATGTGAGTGGAGGAGGTTATGGTGTGTACAAAAGGCTGAACACAGATGATTGTAGACCCCAGGGCTTTGCATGTACATTTGTACAGAGAATTGAGGTGTGTGTGTGTTTGTGTGTGTGTGTGTGTGTGTGTGTGTGTGTGTGTGTGTGTGTGTGTGTGTGTGTGTGTGTGTGTGTGTGTGTGTGTGTGTGAGTGTTTGCTCACCACCAGTCCTGTATCTGTGGGGCCATTACAGAGATTAGGCAGCGCTACAGTAACGGATGCCCCCGATTGTCAGCTTGTATCCTCTGTCAAGACAACAAGCTAAAAGCGAAGGAGTGAGAGTGACGAGCACGGTGGTAGAAAAGGGGGGAGGGACTGTGGAGGGAGGAGAAACATGGAGGCATGTGAGAAGGAGAAAAGAGGAGGGGGAAAGAGAGGCTTTAACAAAGTGGAAAGGAAGTCTTGCAACAAAACTGAGACGTCAGAGAGCTATCTCCACATTGGCCACTCACATAGAGCACCTATGAGAGAGAGGATAAGCCACCGCGGCCCTGATATTCAATAACGGCTCAGACAATTGTCATCCAGTGCTGCCTATCCCTCCTCTATCTTCTCTCCCTCCCACCAGGCCCAATTTGGCCTCTGCCACACTGTCTGAGTCTACCATGCGTGGTGTCAGGTGCCTTGTGGCGATAGGCAAAACGCTTTGCCTGACTGCCATGTTTCAAGGGTTTGCGGCCATATGAGCACATAACACAGGCACACACACAATGCACAAACACACAGACACATACAAACAGACATCTCCTCTCCACCCCCCTTTAGACGTCTGATTAACGAATGAAGGGCCCCGGCCCATCCCGCCGCACTTACAGCAGTGTCGCCCCAAATCACATGGCTCCTCGGAACCAACTGACTCACCCGCTCATCGCTTCCGACAAGGCGGGACTGGGAGGAACGACAGAGTGTGATGTCATAGTGGAGCAGAGAAGTTGTGGGGGTGGGGTGAGGGGGGGGGGGGGTCCTTACAGTGCCACTGCCGGCACAAAAACACAGAGGCGCCAGTACCTTTTCTTTTCCACCACGTCCTACACTCTCTTCCTACCACCCCAAACACTGATGAGCCACCACATACACACATGCACACTCTCACTTGTTTAGCCCTATTGTTGATCTCACCTTCTCACCCTTTCCCCGCATTATGAACCTGCCTAAGACAACCAACTCTTCTATGTCACTTGGCCTCTAAAGCTACAACTATGCTTCTGTGAGCACATTTTAATAACAAAATGTCTAATGTTTTATAAACCCCCATTTGTGCCCCACTGTAAGCATAATCAGAGTTGAAGTATGTTCATTTTCCTTCAAGGCCCCTGTTGTGAGTACAGTCTTGTGTGTGTGGGGCGATGTGTGTGAGATGGAGAGCCACAATGTGCATCAG